GTTGGTTGAGTTAGTTACATGTGTTCCACATTTTAAGGGAAATTGTTAGATTCAATTTTGGGAAGTTAAATAGAGAGCCCGTAAACAATTAGAGGCACGCTTGTTGTTGTATCCACATCTCCTTGTAATCTCTCAAACACGCAATAAACCCTTCGGAATCTTTTCTCTTGTAAGGTTCCCTAACTCAATCTCTGTTCTTCGAATTGCATCTGAATTTCCTAGAACTAAGAAATATTATAACAAACTCCAAACCAAATGGGCATATAATGTATTTGTATAGTCATTAATTGGCTACAAATGTTCTCATATTTTAAAGATTTTTTTGCGACAATGATGACAGCAAAGATCTATACGATGAGACTTTTTAAATCTATACAGTAAATAGTAAATATCAAAATCTACAGTATCCTTTTTTGTGGGATAAAAAAATCATTAAAGAAAAAGGGAAAATATGAAAAATAAAACGATACAGAGCAAAACAAATCTTGAACAGAATCTACCTTGTAATCATATATATAAATGTCTCATGCATTAGCTCCAAGATAAACCAAAAACATATAATTAGGAATCTCTAACTATGATTTTTATTTATTTATTTATTTACTAATTTTAAATAAATAAAAAATATTATAAGATATTATTATTTTTTAATTAAACAAGCTCTAATACCGAAGTAATTGAACATAAAGAAAAATGAAGTTTATTAATTTATACATATTCACATTGTTACAAGTTATAATAGATATCATCTATCTATATTATATATAAAAAGGATATATTTTTTTAGTAACAACATTAATCCCCACATTTAGTAAATTATTATACCTTTTTATTATTAAAAAATTAAAAAGTAATACTAATGAAATCCAAGACTCGAGGATAAATTGCAGTACCAATTGAATTAACATATTTTTATTATTTAATATCTTTTATATTTTATTTTTAATGGAGACACGAAAGTCCTCAACTACACTAGGATATTATAAAGAGGGTTCACTACAAAAAAAAAATATGTAATTTGTGGCGATTATTTTAATAGTTTCTGGGGGTTAAAAACCGCCATAATTTGTATTTTCGGCATCATTAATAACCACCAAACACACGGTCGCCAAGAACGGTTTGTGGCACATATTTTGTAAACGCTGGTCAGAAACTTAAATCACTTTAAACCACCACAAAATGCATTTTAATTTTACCACAAAATTGTTGTGGTTTGAATTGTTTGACATTTTCTAGCGGTTTTGAACCGCCACAAAATTGTACTTTTGTTTGACTTACTTTCCATTTTCTGAATTCTGCATTAAACTGGTACATTTTTATTATTTTAAAAATATATGTAAAATTATTTTAAAAATGCATTCTTATTATAAATTGACAAATAATAATTTATACATTCCATATATGTACATGTATATTTAATTTGTACTTGAAAATGATTCAGATTCCTTCTTCTAGAGCTAAGTAATATAGCATCTTTTATCCAAGCAAGTCTTTATCGACAAATTTCATAATATTCTTAGTACAGGAACTATATAAAGAATAAACCATCAACACACTTGGAAGAACCCTGAAAATGAAGGTTTCTAAAACAATAAATCATGAAAGACTAACTCAGTCATTGAAATGTGGCTATGATTTGACAGAATAATGTTACATGCAAATTAAGAAACCAACAATGGGTTATTATGATTCTAAGCTAGCACCAGCCATGTAGATTTTAAGGAGCTCTATCAAAGGGTTGTGTATCGTTGTAACAGATATCCCATATGGCTTCCATAGAATCCTTGGCAGCATGACCAAAGCAACTGGGATGTGAAGACAGAGATTTCAAAACTCTTCTTCTCACACATTCCTTCAAGTACCATTACATTAATTGAGTATTGAACAAATTACACGAAAAAAAAACGTATACAATCTCAAATATACTAAAGCAAAGAGAGAAATGCATGACAGAATAACAACATACATTATTTTGAGGAAAACAAAAATTGTACCTAGTGTGCTCCCTAAAAGAAAGAACAACTTATATTGAGCACTAGGAAAAAGAAGTAGCAGTCATATGGCACTGCAAATTATGCTTCCAGATGTTTTTTAACCCCTTCAGCTATATAATTTGTGTGAACCACCCTTGCTCTAGACTAGGCTCAAGGTTCAATCCATCTAAAAAGGCATCTCATACAAAATGAAGGTTTAGCCCATCGGTTAGTTGTTGACCAAAGTCATCATTACCTAGGAACAGGATTTCTATAATACACTTCACAGGATACTGTACCTTGGCCAAAGGTAAGGAGAGAGTCACACTCCAAATAAGTTTATATTGCCTTTAGAGTACAATGCACATGAAGCAAATATTGAGGATGGCAAGTTATATTAAGCCTTTCTAATTTTTGTAGTCAATAATTTTACCATTAACCTTACACTACTGAAATATATATATTAAAAGAGTATAATAAAATATTTTTACAACACAAGTTGCTAATCAAGCAACCAATAACAACCAATTATATACAACAAAATATGCTACCATAAGGTAGCCTACAAAAAAAATCTATCTTCAGGCACCTCCTGTGGCCTCTAGCAGCTATCTCCAGTCTATCCCTGCCCTGCTCCCATACAACGTATGATCATCGCAGTCCAAACCACATGGAAACATGCAAGGGTAAGCTAGAGATAATAAATAACTCATAATAATTTAATCTACAACATAACAACTATAAAATCATCTTCGCATTCGACACATGAGACAAACAACATATATACTATATATCTTAACATCATTTCAACTTACAACATAACAACACTATCATCATCTTCAACAAGGTCAACATATAACACAATCATAGCTTAATAACACAACAACGAATATACAACTCATATCAACAACAAATTAAATCATCAACAACTTATGCGTCGTCACTCATTTCGACTCGGAGATATCCTACAACATGGTAAGTAGTCTAAGTGGCTAGGTCCTACCGAACTGACAACACAACAAATTTGGATATCAATCCACAACACAATAATGATTTCTCAGACTTTGCCACTTAAACAAGGAAGTATAGTACTCGGTTAGGAACTAAGTTCCCGACTTCGACCTGACCCCTATACCGTGGTCGCTTTGTAATCGGTATAGCTCGACCTTGCCCCTATACCGTGGTCGCTTTGTAATCGGTATAGCTCGACCTTGTCCCTATACTGTGGTCGCTTTGTAATCGGTATAGCTCAACCTTGCCCCTATACCGTGGTCGCTTTGTAATCGGTATAGCTCGACCTTGTCCCTATACTGTGGTCGCTTTGTAATCGGTATAGCTCAACCTTGCCCCTATACCGTGGTCGCTTTGTAATCGGTATAGCTCGACCTTGCCCCTATACCGTGGTCGCTTTGTAATCGGTATAGCTCGACCTTGCCCCTATACCGTGGTCGCTTTGTAATCGGTATAGCTCGACCTATACATGTTCCTGAAACATATTCTTCTAAATCAAAGTCACAACAAATGTATAAAAGCACTTTTGTTAGTGATTAGATTGACAAAACTACATATTTGAGATTTAAGTATGTACGTACATACTCACCATAACCAAATATAGCTGAGACAGTAGTGGCAGCTAATACAGAGGAACAGACATACTTGTTGAACCCTCTAGAGTTGTCGCCGTTTTCCATGAACCTGTTGGCTGTCTGCGCTTTTTTCTTCCAAAGACTCTTTCAATTTTGATCTCCAACGTGTTTAAAAGCTAGTGAATAGTGACGATCTTTACGTGGACTCTAATACGCATAAGTTTAAGAGTCATGACAC